CAACAACCATGCCACGTTCAAAGGCACTCAAATCACCTTTCTTCCCCGTACTGATGCTCGGTTTGAACTGCAGGAGATTGTCCCTAAATGCACTGAGTTGCCGCCATGTGATTGGCTGATTAGAAATTAAGTGTTAACGAGCAGTTGGACAGGTGTACCTAATAAAGTGGCCGGTGAGTGTAGATAGGACACAAATGCCAAAGAATGAATTGTGAAAATTTACCTGCTGTTCATAAAACACAGCTCTGTCCCAGATTATGCAGCATTTTAAGTTTAAGGGCGCTTTTCTTGCAGTGTTCATAAAATACCTCAGATTTGTGACCTGGAACTAATCTAGCTCTTAAGGACAAATAAAAATCTGCAGACTAGTCCAAATAAAAGTGCACTGATAACTTAATCATGTCATGGTAATTGATTTTCAAAGTGTAACAAACTCTTTAGAAGCCCCTTCTTTTAAGTTGACTGGTTCCTTATCAATATCTTCAACCCCCTGATAATACAGTGCTGTTTCTTGTAGCAAAAGAGATGATTTCATTCATCATTACATAAAGATAAAGGTAACTAGACATGGGTTTTTAMGATGTAAAAACAAGTGTGCATTACCATGTAGCATGGCTTTGCCTGCAGCATTGGACTTGCAAAATGAACTTTGATCAAGTTCAAATGTGTTTTCTGTACCAGCTTCTGCCTGTCATGTGAGCAGGTGTTTGTAATTAAGGTAAATGTGTGACAACATGAAGTTTGAAGAGATTTTTTGTTATAGTTGCATTAGCTGGGTTTTGGACCCTGATCTCCCACATGAAAGTCCATGGCATTGACCATTGGACGATTGGAGATGTGGTAGGACACATTACCAATACAATTATTGACACTAAACTGCATAATATTACAACAATAGAGTAGTATTAAGACAATTATATAGTAAAACATCAAAATACAATCATATTAGTATTGTAAACACTGAACTGTTGAGATTAAATATTAAGAAACTACCTAGCTTCACCTGGGGTTTGCTAGATAAGAGGCTGAACGCAGGTTCTGGTGGGTTGTCGTACGGCTTGTGACATCACAAAATGTATAAAACTTGTCATTAATATACATTAAAATACATTTCTTTACAGTAAATATGCCCTTGGGTGCATTTTTTGGTCCTAGGACTGTTTTCTTAAGAAGTACACACCCAAAGTTCAGTAAAAAACTTTTAAAAAGTGAATTTTGCATAAAAAGTCTCCTTTAAGTAACTACATTTAACCTATCACACATGTGAACACAAGTGCATCATGGAGACCAGCCTGGAGTTGAACCGGCTATCTTCCCATTACTAGCTTGGCTTCTCTACTCCCTGCACCACTACCCTAGTTTGTGACTTCTGAGTTCAAATCTTTTTTGAGTTCAACCAAAAACTTAGATAGTCAATCAAAAACTTAGACAGTCAACCAAAAACTTAAAGCGTCAACCAAAAGTTTGAGATTCAACCAAAAGTTT